GAGGCTTTTTAACTGTTAGACAACTGATAGTTAAAGACCTTCCTGATCCCATGTAGACCACCAAGTAATTTATCACTAAGATCTAACTTTGCCAGCTCCTAGCTTTATTTACATCCCTAGCATTTGTTCTTGTTGTGTAGAGAAGAAAATATGTTGTGCTCTTTATTTAGCGATGATCCTGACATACACATTTTCAGTCATGTAGAGGTCATCCATAGAGACCAGAAGCTGTGAGACAGAGCCTCATATTTAACGTGGGTATTAGACCCTCAGGGCACCCAGTCAAAGGTTCAAAGCTTTTGCTTTCACAGTGGTTTCAGACAGGAATGATTCCTAATCCATCCTGAAGGAATCATTCCTGTTTTCAATCAGTATTTTGTGCCTAGCTTCTCACGACGATAGGCATAAGCTACAGTATGTTCTCAGATTAGAAAAAAATATATAAAGTCTTAAAACGAAAGGGACTGACGTTTATTAGTAGCAGTATACCATGACTAACAACAACTCTTCTTGTTGTGACTGTGATATACATACAGTGAATTTGGCTTGGAATGTCTTCTCAACATAAAGACCTCTCAGAAATAGCGAAAAAATCCAAGAGTACTTTGTTTTTAACTATTTATTGCTATCTGCTGCTTATCTTCCCTCATGAGTTTCAATGTAGGCATTGTTCAGAGTGTGCCAAGATTGCCAAAAAGACAACTAGCATCCAGATCAAACCTGAATCTCCTCAACCCCACCCAGCTTGAAGGCTGACCACAACATTCTTACCTTTTATTTGATGTAGAGCTGACCCCACTTTCCCTACCTCTCTTAGTATATAGGTTTTTTTCCACACCAGCTTGTTAACTATTGCTGCTCATCTGGTCTTTGCTGGAACATTGTGTGTCGTTCCTTCAGGACTTGTCATTTTTCAGCTAAATGCAAGTTCTACCAGATAGCCTGTCCTCAGACAATTGTCTTTTGATCAAAAGCTTTGGCTTCTCTGGTTTCCCAAGGATTTTGGCTTCAATGGATGGTTCTACGTGTTCGTCTTAGCTCAATGGGGACCTTTGCCACAAATGCTAATTGATTGTGCTAGAATTGCCAATCCTCTGGTTTTACACAGAGTAATTTTGAGACACAGGTGTGATAATCCAGTGATCATTGCACAGATCAATGGCTAAAGAACTTCCCTCACTGTCACTCTGGGCCAAAGGCACTTCTATTCTCCTGCTCTTTGCTGTACTTGTTTTGCAATAGTAACCCCTCTCTTGAGTCAAAATCAATGAGGTGTTTGTTCTTTCAGTGAAGGATAATCTTGAAGACTATAATTGGCATTGTATTATATCCTGTTACCAACAGTTTAGTAGATGTCTTCACACTTCTCATTGCTACATTCATGCAGGCTGCATTGCTACATTCATGCAGGCGTCGCTAATCTTGCAGCCTCCCTATGTTGAATTACATCTCCCAGAACTCTTAGTCAACAAGTTCAGAGCCTGGCTGGCAATTTATTTATTTATTTAATATTACTTACTTACTTACTTAATTAATTAATTAATTAATAATTACTTAAATAATTGGAAGATCTGCAAGAAATATCATTTGCCTGTAAGCAAAAACTGGTGAGATCATAAAATAGAGAAAGTCATAGAAAATGATAAAATTAAACTGCTCTGGGACTTCAGAATTCAAACAGACAAGCACCTGCAACATAACACCCCAGACTTAACAATTGTTGATAAGAAAGACAAAAAAGTCTGGATAGTGGACGTGGCAATGCCTGGAGACAGCAGAATAGACGAGAAAGAACTGGAGAAGATAACAAAATACAAAGACCTACAAATAGAAATAGAAAGACTGTGGCAAAAGCAAGCAAGGGTAGTACCAATAGTAATAGGCACCTTGGGTACAATCCCAAAACAACTGGAGCACCACTTGAACACCATTGGCATTGACAAATTTGCCATTAGTCAATTGCAAAAGGCAGCCTTACTAGGAACTGCTTCCATCCTGCGACGATATCTGTAATACCATCAAACATTCACATCTGCCTATCCCAGGTCCTTGGTAAGGACTTGATAGGTAGACAAAATGCCAAATCCAGTCTGAACATCTGGCTGACTGTGCGATGATCAATAATAATAATAATAATAATAATAATAATAATAATAATAATAATAATAATAATAATAATAATAATAGGCTTGGACAAATGTGCCACACTTACTATCAAACAAGGAAAAATAGTGAAAACTGCAGGAATCAAGATGCTCCATGAAAATAACATTAAGAGTCTGGATGAGGAAGATTACTACAAATACTTGGGTATCCTTCAAGCTGACAACATCAAGCACACTGAAGTCAAGAAAAAGATTAGAGGTGAATACATCAAGAGGGTGAAGAAGATCTTAAAGTCCAAACTCAATGGAGGAAATACCATGCCCTTCATCCACGCAGTGACATTGACAGACTTTATTTACCAAGGCAAATAGGTGGGCGTGGAATACTGCAAGTACATCAGATGGCTGAAGAAGAAGAAATGGCTTTGGAAGAATATCTGAAGGACAGTGATGAAGATGCACTGAAATTAGTATATCAGGAAGGCTTACTGACTACTGGAGAGACCAAACTGGTCTACAAGAAAGACCAAATGAAGAACAGAATAGAGGCGTGGGAAGATGAAGCACTACATGGCCAGTACATAAAAAAAATAGCTGGGAAAGCAGATAATAACAAGACCTGGCAATGGCTAAGGGCAGGAAAATTGAAGAAAGAGACCGAGGGACTAATTCTGGCTGCACAAGACCAAGCCTTAAGGAGAAATGCATACAAACTCAAAATTGAGAAGACAGCAACAGACAGTAAGTGCCGCCTATGCAAAGAAGCTGAAGAAACAGTGGACCACCTGGTAAGCTGCTGCAAGAAGATCGCACAGACTGACTACAAGCAGCGGCATGACAAAGTGGCAACAATGGTGCATTGGAAGATCTGCAAGAAATATCATTTGCCTGTAAGCAAGAACTGGTGGGATCA